CACCAAAAATTAACTCATAATCAAAATCAGATGAATTATAACTTTCAGATTCATCATTTGATTAATTAAGAATTGGTTTTTGTTCAAAACATCTTTCAACTTGAAATTTCGAAAGATTATCTTTGAGATTCATGATAAAACACCTGCAACCAAAGATATGAAAGAACTTGACATTATGTTTTCGGTTATTTATGATTTCATATGGAGTTATATTGAAACGACGATGAATAAATGATTGATTCTAAGTAAAACATGTTGTCGAAACTGCTTCTACCCATAGATATTGAGGAAGACTCGCATACGTCAACAGAGTTCTTGCTGCTGCAATAAGAGACCTATTCATCCTTTCATCCGCACCATTTTGTTGTGGTGTGTATGGTGATGAGAAATTATGCGAAATTCCTTTATCAGTTAAAAACGAATCAAGCACATTTTTTTTAAACTCAGAACCATTATCACTTTTGATTTTTTGAACTTTCTTCTTTAGGCTCATTTCAATTTTCTTGATAAATTTGATCATTGTTTGAGCGACTTTGGATTTTAACCTGAGAAAATGCACCTAAGTGAATCGTGAAAAATCATCAACAATAACCAAAATGTATCGTTTCTTGTTAAGAGTGTCAAGAGTTTATGGTCCACAAAGGTCAATATGAAGAAGTTCCAATAGTTCAACCATTTTCGAATCTATGACAATTGGATGTCCTTTTCAATGTTGTTTTCCTTGTTCGCAAGTTGCACATAAAGTATCATTGTCAAACAAAAAAACTAGTAAACCTTGAACAAGATCTTCAACTACCAACTTATTCGAATTACGAAAGTTTAAATGTGATAAACATCGATGCCACAGCCAGCTAACATCAGATGGAGCTTTCCAAAGTAAACAATCCGAAGGTTTCCCAACAATAGGTTTTATGTCAAGAGTGAACATATCGTCATATTGTTTTGATTTCAGCAACACTTCGTTTGTTTCAACATTAGAAATGATACTTCCTTCTTCGTTAACCCAATTTGATTGCCAGTGCCCTTAACAAGTTGTGAAACACTTATCACATTATGTTGAATACCTTCGACATAAGCAACACGATTTACAGTAAACTATCCATTCGTTACTTTCCCATATCCTTTTACTTAACATTTACAATTGTTCCCAAAATTTACAACACCAGCATTGTCCAAACTTCTAAAATCTCGCAAATTCTCCTTTTCTCCAGTCATGTGACATGAGCAACCATTATCAAGATACCATTTTTCATCAAATTTCTCATCACATAATACATGCAATCATTAAAAGAATTTAGGTACCCAAGGCTGATTGGGTCCTTGGTTATTAGTTTGAAAAAGTGAATGATGTTTAGAACCCAAAGCCCAATTTCGAACTTTTATTATCAATTAAGTCGACATCATCAGTTAAAGGTATCGAAACATAATTTTTCGATAGTTTTGGACTTTCACTGATTGTCTTCTCATTCTTCTCAGTGTATTTGTTCTTTGAGATTAGTTGCCATTTTTGAACTGGAGTAATGGATTATTTTGAAGATAAACTTCCAGATGAAGTATCATTCAAATACTGTCCATAGGCCTTCTGGATTTGATGTTGAGAAAACTTTCACGATTGATACTTTTTCCCTTTCTTCTCAAGACAACGATTGATTGTTTCCACCTCAGATGAACCTTTTGTGTATGAAACATTAGTGGCTTGTTTTGAACATGGATTCGGAAAATTTGGTTTTTGTGGAGTAAACTTTCTAATATTTTCAAATTTTCGAGTGTTCTCAAATTTTCGAGTGTTCTCAAAGTTTTGAATGTTCTCAAAGTTTCGAGTGTTCTCAAATTTTCGAGTGTTCTCAAATTTTCGAACATTTTTGAATTGTCGAACATTTTCAGATGAATTTGATATTGAAAACTTTTGTTGGCTTTTTGAATAAAAATTCTTGTGTGGAAGATTTGTTTGAAAAATCTTTGAAGATGATGATTTTGAAATTTTCATAGAAGTATTTTGAGAATCAGACGAAATTGGTTGAGCGGGATTTTTCTTATTATCTGAATGATTTGAAAACTTTCTTTGTACTGGTTTAGACAACTCATTTTCAAACATTTTCTTCATGGTTGTTTTTGATTGTTTTTCATTTGACACAACTTGCCAAAAAAAACTTCTTTCTTGCTTGTCTTTTTGAAATTCCTTTTTCCTTCGAAAATTTTTCAACAAGATCCTTAGATTCTTGTGAATTAAGTTTTACAGTCTCATTTGTTTCATTTGACTCTTGTTTCAAAATTTCTTTTGTATTTTCTTGTTTTCTACCCATTTTCGTTGTGGTTTTTGCCTTTGAAAAAAATATGAATTCTTTGTTAAATTATTTTCGACTGTGCTTTGATTTGAAAAGAATCATTCGTCTTATGTTTTCTTGTTATCTTCTTCAATTATTTTATTAAACTCTGATTTGATATTTTCAACATTCCCAGTAGTGACAAACACGTAATTTCAGAATACAACATCATCTGTGCACTTAAAATTTGGATACACCATAGTGTTTGCACTACTAGAAAAACAGCCTTTTACGACGCTCATTGCGTGTTGTAAAGGCTCAGACGACGCGCAAATGCGCGTCAAGGAAGGCCCTGTCATAAAGAGAGATGACGCGCTTTTGCGCATCGTCTATAGACAACACGCAATGCGTATCAAGGAAAGCCCTGTCATAAAGGAGACTACACGCATTCGTGTGTCGTAACCTTACGACGCGCGTGTTAATGACACGCAATGCATATCAAGAAAGCCCATGTTAAGAAAGGCCATGTCATAAATGAAGATGACACACATTTTTGCATATCATAATTTGTTTGAAAAAATATTATTTATAGATTTACTTGTTTTCACATCAAATTTGTATTTAATGTTTCATAATAGAAAATAAAATATCATATACAAAAAATAGAATCCATTGCATAAATTTAATATCATACAAATAATCGTTCCATGGAAAGATAAAACAAATATAAACCATGATTGGATAACATCAAGTGAGCAAAAGTAATTACATTGACTGACTATGCAATAAAAAAATATGTATTGCTTGAATTATGTTATACTAAATCAATATGAACCTTTTGCTTATGAGAATGCTTTTGGCAAAAAGACTTCACTCTATCAAGAGCTTTTTCAAGAGAAGATGGGACTGCAACAAAAGTTACACGAATCCAGTTTTTCAAACCTACAGTAAGTCCTACAAGACCCAAAAAAAAGATATTTACTCGGTCATTATAAAATCCAACAAAATGTTACAAAAGGATTGTAATCACCTGGAAGAAGAATCATGGATTCCTATTTGGCTAGCTTGAAACAAAAGTCAATACCATCACTAATATCTTTTAGTAAAGAAACATTCAGTTTAACCTACGCAAAACAAAATAAACAATTTTAACAAAACTTGAAAAGTATTTACCATTAAATTTAAACCAAAACACCTAAACCCTTACCATAACAGCCATAGCTCCCTGTGGTTTTTCATTATGCTAAGAATTCTTGTAAAGAACATTTCTTCGTATCCTCAAGGATCCTAGGAACACAGCAAGAAATTACCTAAAATACAAAAGAAAGATTTAATTACTAAATTAAGAATTTATAAAATGAGACAAAAGGGGAGTTGGGAAATACCTTGTCATCATCTGGCAACATCATTCTGCTACTCAAAGATGAAACCATATGTTACAATTTATATTATACCTCAAGGTCAGCATCATGTTCACTCATGGCAAGGCCATGCAATAGCATGTTGCAACATAAAACAAAAGTTCATAAAGAATGATTTGAGAGGATTTTTTATTTTTATAAAAAATGAAAAAATATATATATATATATAAATATAATACCTTCCAAAGGACACTTTTATGTCCTCTTCGAATCCGACATTGGTTATTGACATAGGCTGAGGGATTAAAGTAGAAGCTAACATTTTTAGACCATCATTATTTTTCTGATTAAAAGCAAAAAAGAGAGATATGAAGTGAGTTTGGTTATTTAACCATAAAAATAAAATCTTGTGGTGACAATTTTGTTGGATTCTTTTATTCATTGTTTCATCTTTTTCTACTTTCCCTAAATTTTGTTGTACGCAAATTTATAGGTGATCAAAAAGATTGTTGAATTCTACGATCCAATTAAGTTTTCATTTTTTGTTTACAGTCATCAAAAGCTTATAGGTAGTCAAAAAGTTTATTGTTTCAATTTGATGTTGTTTACAAGAAGGAAGTGGTAAAATTGATGTAAAATGGATCAGAAGTTTAGCATGGAGATAATCAACATAAGGTAATTTTTTACAGAACTTTAACACTTTAATACATGGAACACTAATCTCATTCAGCCCTGATGTGAAATTGATGATGTCTACTTCATGTATAAGGTTGCAAGATTTTGGCAAGGAGATTCAGCAAAAACAACAAGAAGATATACATAAGGTAATTCTAAGACCAAGTTATAGTCCAATGGATAAAAAAAATATGAAAAACCTTTTTGCTTATGTTATATTTAAACGTCACCAGATTTCTACTATTTTAATAGGGTAATATTTTTATAAGCTAATGGGTTGGCTTATTATTTGTTTTTTTGTTTCAGTCACTGAATGTGAGCATTCACCTGTTGTAAGGTATCCTGCTGGCATCTTTGCAATAGTTCAATCTTATTATCAGCATCAGGTGTTTTCTGTTTTACTTTTCACCATTTCCAGTTACAATTTTACTGATACCATTAGAAGTGTAGTTTTTTTTTTCTTTTAGAGAACATATAATGAAATATTTTGTAAAAAGACTTACGACTAAATGCTCATTACATCTTAAATAATGCATGGTTTTTTGTTTGCCTGTTCCAAAATTGGTGGACGTAATGGTTTGCCACACGACCCATATGGATCAATATCTGATAAAATATTATGCATATCAACTGTTTGACAAAATGCCATGCCTATACCATTTATGATCTTTAGTCCTTTTGATCAATACTAAATTTGAAATTAGACATAAACAGTAGCACCAACGCCCTGCCAAAACAATAAAAATGATGACCACTATTTTCATGAAATTTTTTCTTCATATGAATTCCTTCTACATAGGGCAATTAAGCAAACTAACTTGACTAAGTTGACATGGTTTCTAATTGGAACTAGTTTCTAGATGATGAATGGAATATAAATTCAACAAGTAGGGTTTTAAACAACAGATATGTTGTTACCTTCACGAGGCCAGGTGGACCAATGATAACAAGATCTTCTAGAGCTTCTACTTTGTCTAGTGATAAGGTGTTGTATAACATATCAACATGCTCAAACTCATCAAAATCCTCCTGTAGATGAAATGGTTTGTGGTGGTTTTAGATACTTTGTGAAAAGTGAAAACCCAAGATTCTTTTACCATCAATGAAGTCCTTATTTCGTTCCACATAGTGGAGAGAACCTTAAAGAAACTATTGAGAAAATGTGACAGTGAAAAAAGTATATGATGACCTGATGTCGTTCCACATAGTCATCAATGAAGTCCTCAACTCTAGCTTCATTATATGATCCTTATGTCGAACAATTGATGAATCTAAATGTGTCTATCAAACAAAAGAGTGTAGGACATCCATTAAATTATCAACTGTAAGGTAGATATTGAATAATGGTGGTTGATTGAGTGAATGCTAAAATAAAACATACCTGTATAGAGTTGTAGAAATTGGAAAACGAATGCTTTTTTGATTGGAGGGAGATGAAGAGAAGAAGTTACCAGAATAAAACGAGGACAAAAACTGCGTTTCTATAGAAATTGTAGAGGATCATGTAACCCATTCTTTGGTAATTCCAGTGTCCGGGGACTAACAAAATAGGGACCACAAAACGGAATTGAGCCATGGCAAAATCCGATGACATCACGCAATACTAAAAGTAAGCCCAGCAAAAGAACTACATTGCAGTGTCACTTGTAATATTGGTAAAGATGAATACATACCCTGTGCTCTGTACAACCTGACCAACAGTTGCAACAGAAACCTCACGTTTAGTAGTAGCAGCTCCATCCAAAAAAGCTTCAACAGTTCTTGGCATAAGTTCGGGGATATATTATCTCATAACAAAAGCACCTTTCACATATACAAGTAAGACTCAACAAACCAAACATTTTACACTTAAGAGAACAAAAAAAATGTAACAATCTCCTACCACTCTAGCAAGATATCCCACAGTTACAAGAACACCACTGATGGTGCCATTGTTTGCATTCACTTCTACTGTTCCTTCACGTATTTTAGCCAAAAGCGCCTGAAATATGCCACATCAGCTTATAGAATAACTAAATATGCATATATATATATATATATATATATATATATATATATATATATATATATATATGTAGGGTAGGATAGCTTCCAATTATGAAAAAGCTTATGGATTTTATTGTTTCAGATCTGAGTATACAAACCTCACCTCACTATATAAACCAAATCATCACCATCCATACACCAAGGGTATAATCATCATTTAACTCTTACATGCTTAAGCCAAAGCCTAAGACTGAATGTATCAAGTCATTAACTCTTTACCTAATGTAAATTATATCATGTTCAAATTGATGATATTATGAAATTTGTTAACTGGAATGTAAAGGCTATAATTGTCATTTTCTCTCCACACCAGAATTGAAGAGATGAAAATTATTTACCTTAATATAGACCTTGGTCTTAACCTGACTGTCCAGAGCTTCAGCCAATGACTACAACCAATGAAACATGAAGTGATAATGCTATCTCACAGATTAAATAATCATCAAAACACATACTACCTTCACACTGAATTAACACATAGTTAAAAAAAGAAGAAGAATAAGAAGAAGCTCTGAAGAGTTAAGAGACCTTATCAACCTAAACAAGATCTTGAATAACAAGCTCAGGACCAATAATCCCACTGAACAAGAACTTGAATAGCTAGTCTGCTACATATAGACTCTATATATACTTTGTAAAAATCGACTACACAAACAATCATTCTAAAAGATGATTTCAAATTGAGTATTTTATACAAAATTATAGTACTCAGAATAAGAAATTGAACATTAGTGTGAAAGATGGTTCGCTGAATTAGAATTAAGAGTCTAAGAATCGATGTGGAAACAGTCGGCAGTTTCCCACTATTCCATAAAATCGGCATACCAATATCAGAAATCGAAATACTAATTTAAGAAATTGAACCTGAAATCGTGTTTTGGAACTATTAGATTACCGAATCAAACTTGTTCCAGATTCCAATTGGGAACTATCTCGACACCGTACCGGTTTGCGATCCAGGTCGCGTTCGGAACACTTTCGTACCCGATTGGGTACAAAACGATTTGGTATGCAGTTCGTAGCCTTCTGAGTGAATTAGGTAACTATGATACCATCTCATCCAAAGTTTCAGTCAAACACCTTATTCATGATTCTAAGATAGTGGCATGTGACTCAGTTACATAGATATTAAAGAAAAGAATTTGGAGAAGGGTGAATCGAACACCTTATTCTTTTTTCCTAATTTACACCTTACCTAATCATTTGAAACTCAGATCCATTGGTGTATGCATGACTATCTCGCATCATTGATTTATCACTAAGACTCATAATTAGGCGTTACACCGTGATTCTAGGTTACCGCCTCTAGCTCCTCTGCATATATAATCTAGAAACTGAAAGTATTAGGCTTAAACTTGATATGTAAAAGATGAGAAGATAGATGAGAAGATGAGAAGATATATGTACCATGGCATTAAAATTGATACAAACCTTTGTTGATCAAGTATGGATGTTTGATATGGGTATTCTGGTCATCAATCTCTTTTTCTTGATTTGTCAGACCATCTGCTGATAGACTCATGCTTGCTGCTAGGTCGGATGGTTCAGATGGACTAGAGTTAACCCTGCCTCCGGCAGCAGGAATGCAAGGATTAGTTAACCAAGCCACGATTTGTGGTTCGGGAGTGGTGCTTCTAGACAAAGAACCACCGAGTGCAGATGTGTAAGTAAGAGAAGATGATGACATCGCATGAGGATGTTTTGGGCTCGAAACGTAAAGCTTACATGGAAACGAGATCTTCGTGAAGACCAAAATATGCAAAGAAATAGTGTTTTCATCGCCCCTTACGTGTTTTGAACCAGGCGAGAGGGATGAGATGGAAATACGAGAGTGAGATAGAAAAAATTAGGGTCGGATTTAGGAACCTTAAATCATCGGATCAAATTGATAATTAGGAGGTAAGAACCCTAAATCCTCAGCTCATTAGGGTTGAATTAAGAGTGTAAGAACTTGTTGGAATCGAGAATTAGGTTTTTGGTGGAGGTGATGGATCGAGGAATTGAGGAAGCTGTGGATGAAGACGAAGGCCCTAATTCAAAGAGGCAGGGAATTTTTGGGATGAATAGGCGGGGGTTAATTTTTTGGATTTCATTTTCCCACTAAAAATGCGTGTTTTCAATAAAGCGACACAGTTACAAGACACACATCTTTTGATAGGTGCCCTCCGTATTTTTTTTTTCTTTTCTGACACTAATTTTAGGGTACGCAAAAATGCGTGTCTTCTATCCTTCGAATTTTGGGAAACTAACATTAATTTTTAGGGCACGCTCAAATCTGCGTCCTCTATCAGTGTGTGTCATTAAATGCGCGTCGTAAAAGGTTATTTTTCTAGTAGTGTTGTTTCCAAAAAATGAGCACCTTTTTCAGATAACACTTTTTCGAACTGTTTAGTATCTCCAAACACTTGATCAACAACAATTCATTTAACAGTTGTTTCGTTTTAAACATTCTTTTCTATTTCAGAATTGTTTGACCCTTCGTCTTCAATCTCATCATCACTACTATTTGTTTGACTATCTCAAACACTCACATGATCAAAGTCAAAAACATTCGAAGTAGAGGGTCTATCAATGTCATCCTCAACCATCAAATCATTATAGATTTCTTTACCTTTTGACTTAGATGTGACGTTAATGACAGATAACTGAGAATAATCAATACGTTCCTCCTCCTCAATTTCACTGATTTCGCTAAAACTATCAGAATTATCATCGATGTCTGCAAAATTAGATTTAGAGTCGAGTTTTGAGTTCTCGGTTCTTTTCAAAATTTTGAGTTGTTCACTTTTGGTTAAAGTATCATTCACTATTCAACCAAGTTCATCAGCATTCAAGTATTCGTCTATCGTAACAATACCATAAGGAAATCGATTATCAGGCACTTTATCGAATTCTTCTATGGTTTTCTCATAGTTATAGGACAAACTATCAATGTTTTCTCTTTCTAAAACAAGACAAGGCAATAACTTCCTATGTTGTTCTTTGCTTATCTCAGATGAATGATTCAATGAGGTCAATTTAGCATATAATATTTTTGTTGAATTATAGTAAATGTTTCTTTGAGCAAGTAACATTCGAACATCCTTATCTAGACATTCCTTATCATTATTCACATTATTCAATTGCAATTCTAGAAACTCTATCCTGCTTGATTTCGGATCTAGCAATTTCTGGGTCTCTAGCAACTGGATGTTTAATTTCTTAGCTTCATTACTAGCAAACACCACAATTGTATCAAAGTAAGCAACAGTATCATCAAATGCAATTATTTCAGAATCTTAAGCATGTAAAGAAATGCTAAAAAATTAAAGAATAGAATGTACCTTCGTAGTCATCAGTGATTTGTCTCAAGATTTGGTCATGAAACAACGACCAGTCACCATTTCATCCTCATTCTCTTCAAATTGTGCAAACATGGCACCATGCGTCGGATTACGCATCGCTTTGTCATCAGATCCTGAAGAAAGGATCTACTTCGTGCCATCTTCCTCACATTCTCCTTTTGCAACCAATGACATCCCTTTCACTTTTGGTCGAACCTCTTCTAGTTCCTCTACATTGTATGCTTCATCCTTGACTTTATTGTTTTTCTCTTCCTTCTAACGAAGCATGCAATCATTAGCCAAATGATTTGCTCCATTGCAGTAGTGATAGTTAATGCCCGAATCTCCCTTATGTTTCTTCTCAATTTTGGCTTCAGATGCCTTCACCTCATTCTTCTCGAATTTCTTCGTCTCCTCACCCACAGACTTATTGATGAAACTTCCTTTCACATCACTTTCCTTCATCTTCGAATTGAAAGGTTTCTTGAAAAACTTTTTAACTCGGTTGTTCAAGTAAAAAGCAATCGCTTCATCACCAGAATTCATTATAAAGCCTTCTTCATCATAATCAACTTTCTCAACTGCTTCTTTCTGAGAAACTTTCGAAACAAGAGCTAAAGGACCTCCCAAGCTAAGTTTCGACTATTCAACCATTTCATTCACATCACTTTTGTGAGTTTTTAACTGATTATACAAATCATTTAGAGATGAAGTAACGAATCTTTGTTGATTGTTCACCATCATGTTGACACTCCTCCGCTCCTTACGAAGTTCCATCACAAAAGTGAGACTGAACTCCATTGATGACCTTGTGATTCCATAACGATTGCATCCATAGATCAATTCATTAAGACGATCATAGTAAACTTCAATCATTTTATTTTCCATTTGTCTGAACTCTTTCAGCTCCACAAGACATTGCTTAACAAAATTTATCTTCGTCTTCTCACTTCCCTGATATTTTTCTTTCATAGTATTCAAAATATCCTTTGCAGTTTTACAACCATGGATGTAATTGTAAACTACAAGTGGAAATGCACCTCACAATTCTCTCAAATAGTGTTTTCGTTGTTCTTTAGCCTAGTGGTTTGATCCATAACAGCAGGTGTTGACCCAGATGATCCAATAGTTTGAATATTCGATGGAGATTGAGTGATTCATGTAATGTAGCTCCAGAGTTCTTCATCCAATCCGTTCACATAATCCTCCATTCGATCAGCCCACTAAGCATTGTATTCTAGAATCAACATAGGAATCTTCGGAGAAGATCCTAACAGATGATAAAATGAATTCATTGTGTTCATGTTGAAATTCGCCATGAACGTAAGAATGAGATTTTTTAGAAAAACTTGAAGAAATTTGAAATTTGATGAATGAATTGATCAGACACTCAAAATTGATTACTCGATTACACAATTAAAATGTAGATTCAAATCAAAATTGTAGATCAGAGATGGTCTTCTAAATCAAACAGTGTGGAAACTTTTGAGACAAACTTGTGACTCAAAAATGAGAGATGCAAATGAAAATCAGATCCTTACAGTAATGATTCCGGCTCTGATACCAATTGTTGACAAGTTTAATCGAGTATAAGATTCAAATCATAGTAAAATGATGTAATATGAAAACACGATGTAAATAACATCTGGTTTAGCTCATATTACTTTCAATCAACATGAGTACAAAACAGATAGGAATAAGTGTTGGAAAACACTCTTTATAAACTTTATGTTCAGCTTCTATTTATAGAAGACTGAAAGTAAAAAAAATACTAAGGCTAAACATTAAGCTTCGAAATAAACATGCCTTAGCAAATACATAGAAAACATACGAAACTAACATATACATAGGCTTCGACATATTACAAGATATTTCAGCTCTACAGATGAAGGCAAGTCACATTGCACTGTCATATGTGCTTGGCTTTGAGGTGGTAACTAAACCTTGAATGGGCTGAGGCAGACCCCAAATGTTTCCTTCCACTTTCTTATATTCCAGAGTGACCATTCCAAGACATAAAGTGAAGATATCATTAAAATTGTTGGTATAAGCATCAATATCGACTTCTTTAATCTCAAAACTCCAAAGCTCCTGTTCTAGCTTCTGCATTACCTCACGTGGGCAATATTATTATATCATGAGCTTCTTCAGTTCATTTTACGATATGACATTAGCATTTCTAAGACCTATCATTTTTGGATAGCTATTCCACCAGAAAAGGGTTGCATCTATGAAGGTACTAGTGGCAAACTTCACCTTACAGTCTTCTGAGCAGAATCTAAATAAAAAATAGACTCAATCTTTTCTATCCACCGAGTCAAACTGACTACACCTTAGTTTCCATGGAAGGATTTTGGTTTTCAATTCATAAAATCCTTATATGAACATGTCCTGGGTGGACCTCAGTTATCTCCATTAGAACCTTCTCCTGCATTACTTCTAGAGCTGATGTTCCAATTGGTTTCTAAGGTTGCAATTGCATCGGCCACACATTGCGCTATGAAGGCCTCATTTACAGTTGGGTTCATGGGTTCATGGTCAGGGTTATAATCCTTATAATTAGTCGATATTTGTTTGAAAATTAGTTAAAAGAGTTATCCATAACTGTAAAAAAAATCAAGTATACAACAAATTTCACAATGCAATAAGATCACTTGTGAAATACATATAATTTCAATTATTTTCATTGATTACATTTACATCATGATTTTACGAAAAATGTACAAAACAGGTGGGTTGAACAGGAAAATCCTCTATCTTACATACTAAATACATAGCAATGTACTATCATCTACTATCTTTTCCATCCTCCAAACCCTAAAATATAGCTCTCATCTTCCCTAGGTAGAACTATCTACCATATACCAAAATAAATTACTACCAATCCCACAACTTGTTCCATGTGGTGTTGTATGCAACCAATCATCCCCTCCATAGAAACCGCACCGATCTCTGCCACAATTACTCTCTATTCCAATTTTCCTATACGTTGGTCTAAACCCTTGATATCAATCTGCTAAAACTAAACCTGAGTATAAGCCTCCTCCAGATAGTGATATACATGGAGGATCCTCATTTCATCCACCTCCCTACTCCACTCTAGCTTCTATACCCTACTAGTCAACATCCTCACATCCCTCCTCAATGACATCAAATGGTTTCGATGAAGATTCTCCAGCCTTGTAAAACCTGATGCTGCCCTCATCAATCCACTCGTCTACCTAAGGAGTCCACTTTGGGTAGGGTACGACTTCTTTAAGGTTCTAGATGATGATGGCAGCGATATTGCTCTTTTCCGGGATAGTATAGGGATGTATTTCCTCGGAGTGCATATCATCCTAGGCCCCAATTCACGAATACTGAAGGATTGACCAGAAGATGGGGGTAGTGGAGTCACAATCTCTAGGGATACATTTGACTTAGAAGTGTCCTCCTCTTGACTCTCAACGTGCTCGGTAGGGTCATCATGGGATGATGAATCTGGATATGGTGATTTGTCTGATGTTTCCCCACTGAATCTTTCATAATATTGCTTATCCTCCTCGATTGGCTCCTCCTCGTTCTTGAATGGCTTGTCATCCTCCTTGGCTGATACTAGGGTAGGAGGTAAAGTCGTCATAGGATCATAGTCACTCTCTATCTCTAGCGTGTGAGGCACAACATGGTCCTTCTATTGTAAAGGATGCAACACCCAATCCCATATGTCCTCTATATCACTCTGATACCCTACATAATACATCAAACATTAAAGATGCTTATGAGAGATAATATGAGAATCATATAGTAAAAATAATTTGTTATTATAAGTATTTGATATATAAAATTGTATCTCCTAGGATTCTCTAAATAGGGTATGTCGGATACCTGAATCTAATCAATCCATCCTCAAGAATTAGTTATGAATCCTCACGTAACAAGTTTCAATCTAAGCCTACAATTGTTAATAAGTTGATCTAATCATTGATCCAAGAATCCTCAAGTTGCAGGTCTCCACCTACTTTCTAAATCAACTAATCGAACTATGCTTTCGATCCATAAATCCTTAAGCATTTAGATTTCCAACTATGATATCCATTTTTATGTGTGAATAAAACTTAGTTACACATTCTACGTCTAGTTGTTGTTTCTTCGTAGTACTATACTAACCCTAGGATTCGTTTTTGACAAAAAATCTTAAGTAGTGATTTAATGGATGATCCTTATGATATTTAGGTATATTTATAAGAGTTTATATAACCCTATATTTTATTATGTTTGATTAAATATATTTGATTAATTCTATGTTTTATAGTTCAAGACTATAGAGTAAGGATTGGCCAGAGGAGAAGTGCTGGAAGGCAGGACCATTGTAGCATATAGTTGTTCTGAAATCCAACAACCCAAGCAACTGTTCAAAGTAGTCACCTCTCGCGTAAGTAGTCTATATGTATCGTAATTAATAATAATACCATTTTTTAGGTTTAACTAATTCAGAATGTATGCCCTAGGTAATAATCATAGTTCCTAAGGAAATACTAGTTCGCTATAATATGTAGCTCTCATATCAATCTGTCACACCCCCGGTCAATGGTTGAAATGCCGAGTTGTACAACGTAGGTGCATTGGATCACGATGAAAGGTATATTGAACAATACATAAATATAGCACAAACATTTCTTTTATTTATTCTAAATTATTTTTGCGTTACAGCATTGGAGTTTAAGCACACTTCCTACTCATAACTAGCATAAAACAAACTGAAATGTCTTCCAACAAGTTGCTTGATGACTTCTTTCCTTCCACAACTACTCTCCACACTCATCTTCCTGAGAATACATATATTTTGTAAACTTCAACATAAAGTTGAAGAGTTCACAGGTTTTATAGTTTTCTGTTTTTATTATTTTATTTGATCGAAAACTATTTCAACATTAAAAGCCTTACTTTCATTTAGAATATATTTTCTATCCTAAATCTTTATAATTTTTCTCGAATCAGATTATACAACCACTTGAAGGCGTCCCTCGAGGTAATTAGGTTAAGATTTTCCAAACAATATTACCAGGATCCCCTATTATCGATGTTGTGGACCAATATATACCCCACACGATGCTTCGTCAGATGTCAAATAGTATTGTTTTTATACTTAAGAAAGTTATCATGTCGGGATTGTAACTAGCAATCGCAAGTGAGGGTGTTAGCCCCGTATAGATCTATACGTATCTTTCTAGCTCTCGCAAGATAAACGATTATAAGTTCAAGGTTTAGCCGAATTTAATTAGGCTATATGATGAATAATAACAGCTCACTACTGCGTGTTAATTAATTTTGAATATGATTATTGTTTTATGTTTTCCTTACTTAGACTATCTTTGATACTGATTTCTTTTATATATAATTCATATACACTTAATCCTATATTTAATAATTATCTTTTGTAAATATTCTTAGATAAGTTATGGTACAATTAAGTACATTGTCTATCCTTACGTTTTTTTCCATAATCATCACTTTATATATACATATATGTGTGTGTGTGTGTGTGTGTGTGTATATATATATATATATATATATATATAGTTATTTAGTTAGTTAGTGAATATCCATATCTGATCTTGCATATATACTTTTCTTTTATCATATAAATATAGTAATTACGATTTTATGATATCAGGATATTAGGATAGAGTAACAACTAAACACAATGCCTATCCTAAAACTTGGCCAACATTACTTGTCGATACTAAGTTATCTTAGGAAATTGTCGAACATAACATCTACGTATAATCTTTTCCTTGTCTACCAGGTAGCATAACGACTAGGCAGACTTACCACCGGTATATTACCCTATCGTTTCATGTTTATTTATATCAACTACATATATGTTTACCAAATATATTTTGATAAAGTAGTATAATGAGCATGTATTCCCCCAGTTACACCTTTAAAACCGTAAATGTAGGGTTGTGAACTCACAATCGATGCGTGATACCGCTGGTGTAGGGTTGATTCGGTCTCGGGACTCCTGAGCAACTCGGGATTGCAGTAGCTCCAAGAGAGAGTGAGGGAGAATGTTCTCGGGTGCAAAATGAGACTGTTGACCCATCTATTAATAGTTGACGTTTTGACGTGCGCATGACACATACATTTGCACTCGTCGAGCGTGATCATCATGGCTCCATCAGGGAGTCGCCACATGTCACTCTCTCCATGGACCACGTCACTCGCAAACCGATCGAATCTGGTGTCAAATGCACATCGGGAAAAGACGCGCACCTCATGTGCACATAAAATATTTTTATAAAAACGGTATGTTAAGCATATGATCTCCTATCTTTACCCTCTCTGTATCTATTTGATGATCTCATCTAGTACTATAAATTTCCTTTAGGCTATTTTGGCTAGTTTTGCCTTCATCTTTTTACCTAATGGGGATAAAAATAAATGATTTTACAAAAATCATATCTCTCTCATGCGGATCCCATTTTTGGCATTCTTTTTACTAAATTTCTTATCTCGAGGAGTTCTACAATTCTATTATTTATAACTTTAGTCCAAACTTAACCAATCTCTATGTATCGTTTCGACGTCGTAATAATTATTTACGTGACTGATTTTTCTTTTTACAAAAATTATAACTCCTCAAACCGGAGTCAAATTTTTACCAATTTTATATCCGGAGTACTTTCTCAATATATTAACCATTTTAAAAAGAGAGTACAACTTTTAGGACACTTAATTTTTAGTCTAATCGTCGAATTACTTCTAACTGTAACAACATATTTGTAACATACACGTTCTAAAATTGTGTAACATGCATATTTGTAACATACATGTTCTAAAGTTATGACCAATCGAAGATTCGCGACAAAACCGACACAGCACCAAATGACGTAAAAAGTGAGTTTTTGATAAACTACTTTTTAGCCATAGTAATCTAAATGAAAGTCATAGTATTCGTTAAACCGAGAAATTCGATAAAAAGAACGTCAAAATCTGACTTCGTATGATGAAGTTATGATTTTTCTAAATTTCGGATTAGCAATAGACCGCTAAAAACTCAAACTTTAGATCGAGCGATATTTGGCCGATACATCCTAAACGAGAATTGAAGGTCTCGTCATTTGTATTGCAATGGTAAAAAGTCTGATGAAAACGGATGTCGGATGAAGAAGTTATGAATTTTTAACGGATTTTCCTATCCCGGTCTGTTAAAAATAATATTATTAAATATAAAGTCAAAATTAGCAGACGAAGTCAAAACGAAAGTTGTAGAGCGTAATTTTAGCTACTCGTGCATATAAAGAACGTAAAAAACGGAGCTTGTATGCGAAAGTTATGAATTTTAGAAGTTTGGGGAACATTTTCCAAGAAATCTCGCATGAGTAGTACCGGCCACGTCACTCGTCTCTATGCGCGCCACGTATGCGAACCGAAGACATGTCCTACTTGCGTTTCCGAAACCTGCAAAGCCACCGGAGACCCTCGTTGCTGCCACGTCCCTCGCACAAAGCTGCTACATCATCGAGACGTTGGACCAGTTCGAAGTCGACGCGTGTTGCACGCGTGTCTGAGCCTTGCTTCGCCACCGTCTCCCCCTCTCGCATGCGAGCCACATGCTTCGTTCCTCCTGTTGCCTCGTGTCCTTGCTGCTGACTCATCCTTCTCAACCGACTTTCGAACCTCGCCTATAAACAGGAAAGCTGCAAACCTTCTCGGGTAATATTGAGAAATTGCCACTTTTTACCCCCTTTTCCATATTTTTTTTCATTTTGACTTTCCCCGAAGCCTCGGTATCAATTTTAGCACCTGAAACACGCCCCGAGACCCCCGAGAAGCCTAGAAATTTTATCTTTTCGGTTTTGAATCCCTACCTTCGCAGAGCCCGGTTTTCAATTAAGTTCCCGGTTTTCAACTTAGAAAGTCATATTTAAAGTCGAAGTGCTATCCAAATTACTATTTAACCCCCGGTTAATTTAAGGTGAGTTCAATATATAGGAACAATTGTATGGTATCTGTTATATGTGCTATGTGCTTTTCAGTGTTATTATTCTGAGTTATTTTCCCGTGTTATTTTTATTCACTATTTTTGATAGCAAAGTTATACCTTTGACCATGTGATCAGTGAAAGGACTTAGATTCATGGTGGTATTGGTATGTAGCCTCTGGTCATGTAGAACATGTCTCGTAAGAGAATGATTTCTATTCTATGGCGTTGGCATAAGGTTAGATAAGAATGGTATGTAGCCTTTGACCATGTAGAGCATGACTCTGTAAGAGAATGAACTATATTCTATGGTATTAGCAAATGGTTAGATAGGGCTATAAGCCTGAAATCTACCAAAATGTTAATCAGAAATTATATTTCTTCTGTGTCATTTGGGCCAAAACTTTATTGATTCATATCAAGTATTGAAATCGTTATGTCTCAATGATCGTAAATCATTGAATCAAATCTTGAGTTGATATTGAAAGCCTGACATATGATACGCATATGTTATTATTGTTCTTGTTCCCTTTTGCTTCTGTCATATTGGTATATATAAGGCATAAGATTATATTGTATCTATTTATTGAATTCACTAAGCGTTATCGCTTATCCCTGTCAATGTTTAACAATTGCAGGTGATGAGTATCCAA